CTGTTACACCTGAAGCTGGCATTTCTTTTTGGACAGGCAGCAGAAAGCATACTGACTCTTCTTATCCAAGCAAGAGGGGCCCAATCTCCTGAAGAGAATTTCCAAACTTCAAGGAAGAAATATGGTTGCATAGGACAGTTTCAGAAGCATCCCCAGGTGCCTGTCAGAGTGGCGCTAGAAGCTCTTTGGTCCCTCCCAGTAGGGGTTATAAAGAACAAGGCATTCTCAGCAGAAGCCCCTCGTGAAACAAGCTGTTTTCCTCCAGGTGCCACCTCTGTCCTTTTGAATAGACTGGTTTAGGTTGCTTGCACATGTTCCATCCTCTTCCACTTGCAGATATTTTTGCAATAAGTTAAACCACATTTTATAATTGCTTATCATTGATGGGTCATTTGTTTTTTTAATTACTTGATGCCATTTTTAGAAGTGTCCCATCAACTACCAATACTCAGTTATGGCGTTATGCTAGCTGGTGTGAGCCCACACATCTGGGTGCAAATGGCTTATAAGGAAGGCTTTACTGAGTTCTGATTGGTTGATTTTCCTTGTGTGCCAGTTGATTACAGCATCTCTCTGTGCAGCACATTCACAAGATGGTAGGTGATGGCAACTTCTCTGACAGTAAAGTTGTGCGTTGAGTGTGTTATCTGTTGTAAAGCATCAAACAGCCGTAAGTGAAGATAGTGATGGGAGCTAACATTTATTAAGCAATAAATGTGTCAGGCCCAGTGCCAAGCATGTCACTTGAATAATCTCATTTAATCCTCACAACAACCCTCTGAGGTGGGTTGACTATTATTATTTGCACTTTACAAATGAGGAAATTGACTTGCCCAAGGTCCCACAGCTAGTAAGTAGAGAAGGTCAGATCTGGTGATGTTCATCTAGGACTATGGATTTGGTATGTGAAATTTCCAAAAATAATTTTAAAATAGACATATGTTCTTAGAGACATTTATAAAATATTACAAAGTGAAAAAATACATAAACGTTTTCTGCATGGAATCAACCCAGGTTTCTGAAAATATGAAAATATGAATCTAATAAATTTAGCTGGTGTTATGTTTTCTATTTCTATATAAAATTTATATACACATATGCATGTACAGTTATATACATTGTATATAAATTTATGGAGATAGTATGTGTGCATGTGTGTGTATATAACATATTTAACTTTAATTTGATTTTTAATATATGCACATAACATTTTTGTGTATTTATGCATATATATGGTTTTTTCTTAATTTAGTCTTTCAGAAACGCTCTGAGCTCTCTTTTATACAGCATATATAGTTAGATCTTGGTTTTGTTCAGACCAAAAGCCTACTATTGTTTTAATAGATGAGTTTAACTTATTTACAATTACTGACAAAATCAATATGTTTAGGGGTGTGGAATGGTTTCTGGACTGAGTAAATTCACAGTATATTCCAGCTCTCCCTAGTCTATCCTGCCTGCTCCAACCAAATTAGGCACTTTAACAATCTTACTCTTTCTTATTATAGCATTTTGTATTATGATTTCTCAAGAGAAGACAGAAGAGCATCCTTTTGCAGATATATTTAGTGAAGATGAAACTGAAAAAAATTTTTTGTTGTCCAAACCTGTTTGCTTTGTTGTATTTGGGAAACCAGTAAGTTATCTCTTCTAACTTATTATTTAGTAGAATTTTTTATTTTTAAAATCACAACCTTATGAGTTAACATACAAGAATGAAAACCACGTACTGTGCTAGTTTTTTGAGTGTGTAATAGATTTTCACTGTATTGCTTAACATCTGATATACTATTGGTTATAAATTCGTAACTTTCTTATACACTATAATTGAAAAGGAATCTAGATTGTATTTATATTTGTGTTATATTATGAGGAAATTAATTCATCAAAACACTGCACCATGGCAATTGTTGGTAGAATGTCATCTAAGGTTATTTCAGACTTGATTTGTATATAAAACTTTCTTTGAAATTTGTTGCGAGTCTCTCTGGAAATTTGAGGGTAGGACACTATTGATACGAGCTAGGAGGGTCTCCTGTTAATACCTGAAGATACTGAGAGACAATGTGCCTTAACCCTTACCTACAATACAGCGGTCCCCAACCTTTTTGGTACCAGGGACCTGTTTCATGGAAGACAATTTTTCCACGGGGGTGAGGAGGCGGAGCTCAGGCGGTGATGCTAGTGATGGGGAAAAGCTGTAAATATAGATGAGGCTTCACTTGCTTGCCCTCTGTTCACCTCCTGTTCTGCGGCACCCTCGTTCCTAAGTTTCGTGGAGGATCATTTTTCCACTGACTGGTGGGCGGGGGTCGGTGGTGGGTGGTGGCGGAGCTCTGCAGCCCTAACATGCTGCGGACTGTTACCGGTCCACGGTCGGGTGGTTGGAGACCACAGTGTTAGAGGACCTATATCTTTCCACAAAACGGGCAGAAACCCAAGTGGCTGTTGTGATACAGTTAGCCTTTCTAGGCAGTTCTAGTGAGGCCCTGTAGATAAGAGCTATTTTCAGCCACTGAGCTAGTTGGCACTTAGCGTTAGAGGGCCTGAGCTGGTTAATTAAGGAGTCTCTCCAGAACAGCGGAGATTAAGAGCGGGGTCCCATCCTTAATTTTATATGGACCCTGGGACAGATAACAAGAATGAGTTCCAACCACCTAGGTTTCCGAAAATATAGTACACCCTTAATATTTTGAAATAAAAAATAAAAATATTAAATAAAAAGTAAACAAAAACATAATACAGTTTAAAAAATCAACTGCGAAAGCAACCAGATACACGTTACTCTATGCAAATAACCTTTCATCTGAAAAATATGATACTTTCCAAAGATGTCAGTTAAGAAGGATTTTTTTGCTCTTGAAAATTACTAAGTGGAAGTCTGTCAAAACATTCATGATTATAAACTTTAGGAAGGAAATAAAGTGAAGGATCCCAATATAATCACAATGACTTGTAATCAAAATTACAGAATTTGACAATCAAAAGAGTGCAGTACCATAATGGTATAGCCTCCTGATTTCAAGGCTATTTTCTTAATTTAGAAAATTTTACTTAAATCACTTCAGGAGATGTAGCATATGCAAAAATTAGTGGAGAAAAATGAATCTATTAAAAAATGAGAAAAATTACTTTATAACATTGATGTAATATAACAATAACCATTAATAGAATCTTTAAAAATTGGTATATCTGTTTCACTGGCAAGTGACTGATCTATTGGGTTTTAAAGAACATTTCTCTTTTTAAGGGAGTTGGGAAGACAACATTAGCCCATCATATAACACAGGCATGGAAATGTATTCGTGTTGAAGGTAAATTTTATCTTTTTTCCCCCAATATTTCATTATGAAAACTTTCAAATATGCATAAAATGGAAAGACTTATCCAACAAACACCCATCTACCCAACTATCTACCTTCTAGAGTCTATGAATAACATTTTGCTATATTTGCTTTATTACACATCTATCCATCTATCAACCCAGTGAATATTATCTTTATAATAGCATCAATCCAAACATGTTTTGTCCTTCTGTTAGTCCTAGTTCTGTTCATAGAATTTAGATGGGTTTATGAAATTTCCTTAACTCCATTCTACTGCCTCCAAATCTCTAATCCCACAATTTAGAACTATTTGGAATATGTGCATTTTGGGTGTCTTCTTGTGAAGGAAGAGAAGAGAAGGAACTCTCATAGCTTTTATTGGGAGCATTTTCCAGAACTTAAGTATCTTCAATGATAAATTTTTGTATTTTTCATTTATAAATTTCCTTGCATTCTTTGCAATGTATAAGACAATGGGTTAATATCTTTATATATAAATATTCCTTTAATCAGTAAAACTATTGGTGCCCTAATAGAAAAATAAGGAAAAGAATGAATAGGAAATTCATAAAAGTGGAAATAAAAATAGATAATGTAAGAAAAAAGAGTTTAACTTACTGTTATCCAAAGAAATATTAATATAAGTAACACTGATCCATATTTCTCTATCAAACTGGCAATGGATCTTTAAAATTACTATAACCATTGTTGGCAAGGATGTTATGAAATGGGCATTCCACATGGTATTAGTAAAATTTCAATCTGGTATAATTTTTTTCAGGAACAGTTTGGTAACACATAACACACACACACACACAGAGTATTCTAAAATTTTTCTTTCTTTGATCAAAAATTTCACTTCTAGGAAATCTTAAAGAGTACCAAATATTCCATAGATTACTAACAGCTAGTGACATAGTTCAGCTCCTGGGTCCTTCCCTCAGTCATGTTCTATCATTTGTCCATCAAGGAACTGTGTATTTATTCTTGTAAAGGAAACAAATCATTGGAATTTCGGTCTCAGGGTCCCTCTTTCTAATCAATATTTATCCATTGTAACATATCTTGATGCATACTTTCCTTTTATACAATCATTGTGCAAAATTAATGGGCTCTGTATAGAACTATATGGTTATAAAAGTGTCTACATTAACAATACTAGTATCTAATTTTGTATGATACTTTATAGTTTAGAAATCACCACCTTATTTCATCCTCACATTCTCTTGCATATTACACAGGGCAGGGCATATACATCTAAAGCGCAGAGATGTTTAGGGAGTTAGCTCCCCCAAGATTCTTTAGCTAGAGAGTGCCAGAGACAAGTTCTCTATGGAATACATTCTGCTGCCTCTACTTTGATTAGGCTTAAATGACATAATATGCATAAATTTATAAATTTGCTTTGTAAATTCTAAAGCGATGTACAAATGTTAATCTTTGTTACCAGTTACAAGACGCTCAAATGGGTTTCTTAATTGGCAAGCCTAATACCAGTTTGTACTAATATTTTGAATTCACATTTCAGCTTTATCAGTTTTGGAAGAACAAATTGCTGCTGCAACTGAAACGGGAGTTATGGTAAACAAATCTAAATTTCAAAGTTATTATGATTACAGAAAAAGCTCTGCATCACAGATATATTATACAGTAATGTGTAATATCTTTGCTTATTCTTAGGTGCAATCTTTGCTGCTCAGTGGTCAAAGCGTTCCGGATGAACTTATCACAAAACTAATGTTGGAGAAGCTCAACTCCCCAGAAGTCTCTCACTTTGGTTTGTTTATTCTTATACACCTACAGCCTGCAAAGCAGCCTTAAAACTCGTGCTTTATCTGAGGCATAGTTTCTGGAGTCACTCTTTCTTTTGCCTTGGCATAGGAATCATAGGAATCTCAGTGTCTGTATTCAGTTGAGCAGCCCAGGAAGTTTATGTGCTCGTTTGTATTTATCCTCCACATGGTACATTTGTTTAAAAGAAATAAGTTTATATGACCCAATCTTACTTAACATTGTATTATCCGACAAATGCATCAAAAATCTGCTGTGGTCCATCTTGCAGCACTGCTAGCAGAGGTGACTACTTCCCCATTCACCTGAGTTTTATCAATGGTTTGGTTTCTCTACATTAATCCACACCTGTAAAGTAGGTATGGGGACTGGAATGGCACCAGCTTGCCCTCTGGCTCCAGATAATGGCAAGCTTCAGCGTGTTCATCCAGTCTTCCCTCTGGCTCTGGACCTGACAAGTCTCCCCAACAGGGGCTTTGGGTCTAATTTCTCAAGAGAAAAACCACTGAAGCCCAGAATGATTAAAAAGAAAAGAGCAAACTCAAAGATACCTGCAAAAGAAGGGAAGAAGAATAAAGATGAGCTTGGGACAAAATTATCCACCTGAAATAGATTTATTGAATGAATGAAGAAAAATTTAGAAAGCTGCTTTGTATTCTCTGTAAGAGAGGACATTGTAAATATTAAGAATACAGCGAGAAAAACAAAGCATAGTAAATAAAAACCATGACTCTCAAACCAAATCGATAACGGAAACAGCAGAAGCAGATTTGGCTGTGCAAATTACATCTATGTGGTCTATATCTGTAGACAGAAAGATCTCTCTACATAGATGACGTGTATAGGGATGATGTATAGAATGAACCATCTCTAT